CCTGAATCTTGTAGTAACCACCCTGAAGCTATCAACGCTGCTACTCTTCTTGTCAAAAAAGGTGTCCTGCAGCTGGACATCCTCATAAATACTGTAAAGCAGTATCCTCCTCCGTGATAGTTGCCACGTAATAAGGACTGACAGTGTAAATGCACGCATTGTGCACACAGTTTATCCTTTAACGGCCAAAGATCACATTCACTCCAAACATATACCACTTGCGGGCTATTCATACCAGTGCCACCTCTTGGGTAGCTTATTTTTCATAAATTAATCATTCTGTCTTCCTCACTCACAGTAGTAGGGATGATGGCGTGTGCACCTCATGGGATTTTGGGAAAAAGAAGACGATATGCCTCACCGTTTTCACCGAACTTTGGAAAGAGGACGATATGCCTCACCGTTTTCACCGAACTTTTTCTGGGAAAGAGGACGATATGCCTCACCGTTTTCACCGAACTTTGGAAAGAGGACGATTTGCCTCGCAGTTTTCACCAAACGTTTTCTGGGAAAGAGGACGATATGCCTCGCCGTTTTCACCGAACTTTGGAAAGAGGACGATATGCCTCACCGTTTTCACTGAACTTTTTCTGGGAAAAAGGGCCGATATGTCACACCGGTTTCACCGAACTTTGGAAAAGAGTCAATTTGGAATAAAGAAAGTCTTATGAGGAAAATAATTTCTGAGGTCTTAGAAGTTTGTTAAGAATTCTTATGAGAAAAATAATTTCCGAGATTTTAGAAGTTTGTTAGGAGATCTTATGATGAAAATATAATCATAGAAGTTTCTTAATAGTTTTTGGAAAATCGTGCATGGATCATCTGGGGTTTCAGGTGAATTTGGCCAGTCTCAGATTTGGAATTAAGGAATTATTATAAGAGAAATAATTTCTGATATTTTAGAAGTTTGTTAAGAGTTCTTAATATGAAAATATATTCATAGAAGTTTGTTAAGAGATCTTATTGGAGAAATTCTAATTTTTCCGAATTCTTACCGAGAATAAACAGATATTTAGGCCGTATATGTTTAAGTAGAAATTGTTACTTAGAAACGAGTACAAGTATTTAACTAAACTGAATCATTACCCAGCCATCCCCCACCCCCTTCCCTCCCACCCACCCCGCCTCACCTCACACCCCCTTACCTCCCAACCACCCGCGTCACCTGTGTTTACCTCCCACCCCCACCCTTCCCTACGTCACCTGCTCCTACTTCTCACCCCCTTCCCTCTCACCCCTGCGTCATGAAGATACCAGCGAAAATATGAACTGAACATGCTGCGAACATTTGAAGAACATGGAGTGAACATGAATGAGAATACGAAGAACACAGTGAATATAGAGAAAATATGCAAATATTGTATGATTATTGAAGGTTTTGATAAGTTGTGGAGTTAAGGGAGGGAGGGGGGGGTAAGGAAGGGAAAGGGTATGGTGTGATTTTTTGACAGTGTGATTATTGCTTACTTGGATAAACAAAGGGTATTAATGGATGTGTTGTTTACTTTGATGGACTGGAGAAGGTCTTGATCTGAATTAATTTGATGAACTAAAATCGGAGGACAGAAATTGGAGCTCGGTTAACGTCCTGATAAACATTTTACTACGTAGAAATATAGTGATCTTAAATATCAGGGGATTTGGTCTGATAATAAAGAATTTGTACAAATGAACTAATGTGGGGGACGAGAGCTCGATAACTGACTCGATCTTATTTACTGTGTCTGAAATATGAAGGGTATAAGTTTCAGGGAAATTAATTAGGTATTAACGAAGATACGAGAGAGAGCTAAGGCGGGGACAGGAGCTGAAACTCGGTAACTGTTTTGACTTGATTTACTACCTTTGAAGTATATCTGCTTTAAATTTGGGGAAAAATGGTCTGTTACTAAAGAACTTGTACAAATGAACTAAGGTGGGGGACAAGAGCTGGAGCTCGATAACTCATTCGATCTTATTTACTGCGTCTGAAATACAGAGGGTTAAAATTTCAGGAAAATTGATGAGTTATTAACGAAGATACGAGAGAGAGCTAAGGCGGATGACAAGAGCTAGAGTTTAGTAAATGTGTTATCCGTACTTACTCAATTAGAAGTATGAGGGGTTTAAATTTCATGAAAATTAATGGGTTATTAACGAAGATGTGCGAGGACATTAAGGTGAAGGACAAGAGCTGGAGCTCAGTAACTAAATTACTGTATTGCACTACATTTGAAATGTGGCTATTTAAAATTTTAGAGGGATTGGACTGTTAGTAAAGAAGTTACGGGGATAAACTAAAGTGGGGACAAGAGCTAGAACTTGCTTACTAACATGATTTATTTTACTACATGCGAAATATGGCTGTTTAAATTTTTTGAGAGAATTGATAGGATATTAACGAAGACGTGTGAGGGAAGAAGGGTGGGGGACGAAAGCTGGAGCTTGGTAACTAAATTACTGTATTGTACTAAGATTGAAATAACTATGTTTTAAATCTCGAAGAAAATGATTGGGTACTAAAGAAGATGTATTAGTAAAACTAAGGCGGAGGACAGGAGCTAGATCTTGCTTACTGACTTGGTTGATTTGTGTAAAACTGACTCGTTTAATGTAAAGGAACAAACATTACGATGTCGAAAATAGATGTACAGAATTATGAATGAACAATATGACGAAGGAAGGGGGGGGGGGGGGGGGGGGTAAGGTAACAGGTAGAGAGGTCCAGATATTACGGCTACACAATGTTAAGATAAGATAAGATTACGGAGGTGAGTTGCCCGGGGCGTCTGGCTGGCTGGCAGTGTAAGGTAAACACAGGTGATGCGGATTGGGAGGGAAGGGGAAGGGAGGGGGTGTGAGGTAAGATGATGCAGGGGGTGGGAGGGAGGGGGTGTGAGGTAAGATGACACGGGGGTGGGAGGGAAGGGGGTGAGAAGTAGGAGCAGGTGACGTAGGGAAGGGTGGGGGGTGGGAGGTAAACACAGATGACGCGGGAGGTTAGGAGGTAAAGGGGTGTGAGGTGAGGCTGGGAGGGAAGGGGGAGGGGGATGGCTGGGTAATGATTCAGTTTAGTTAAATAGTTGTATTCGTTTCTAAGTAAGAATTTCTACTTAAACATATACGGCCTAAATATCTGTTTATTCTCGGTAAGAATTCGGAAAAATCATAATTTCTCCAATAAGATCTCTTAACAAACTTCTATGAATATATTTTCATCATAAGAACTCTTAACAAACTTAAAAATATCGGAAATTATTTTTCTCATAAGAATTCCTTAATTCCAAATCTGTGACTGGCCAAATTCACCTGAAACCCCAGACGATCCACACACGATTTTCCAAAAACTATTAAGAAACTTCTATGATTATGTTTTCATCATAAGAACTCCTAACAAACTTCTAAAATCTCGGAAATTATTTTTCTCATAAGAATTCTTAACAAACTTCTAAGATCTCAGAAAACTTTTTTCCTCATAAGATTTCCTTAATTCCAAATTGACTCTTTTCCAAAGTTCGGTGAAACCGGTGTGACATATCGGCCCTTTTTCCCAGAAAAAGTTCGGTGAAAACGGCGAGGCAAATCGTCCTCTTTCCAAAGTTCAGTGAAAACGGTGAGGCATATCGTCCTCTTTCCAAAGTTCAGTGAAAACGGTAAGGCATATCGTCCTCTTTTTCCCAAAATCCAATGAGGTTCACACGCCGTCATCCCTACTACTACTCACTAGTTGATAAAGGTTCAGGAGGAAGCGAAACGTCGTCGTTTCTTCATCTTCAGATTCGTTGTTTGATCATCATATATCATCTTTCCTTGGTGAACTAATTATTTGTATCCAAAACTAAGTTTACTGCTAAGTGACTATCAAACGAGGAACAGGATGATCCAGGCGCCAGGGCGTTAATTTGTTGGCTTGATTACACGTGTAACTCCATGTTGAGAGAACCCCTTCCAAACAAAGGTCAGGTTAGAAATAAATGATCACTAATGGAGAGCTGTTTCTCAGAATGGCATTACCAGTATAAGGCTATTAATGGCCGAATACCTTCTGGTAAGGATCTGGCAAGGAACCTCGATAATGTTTTAGTTATACACAACAGTAAGTCCTCAACATCTCCTCGGTCTTGAAGTCTCTGAGGTTCTGACAAGTAAAAACCAGAACTTTAAATTTAATTCTGGCGGTTTTGGGTACTAACGCGTGTCCAGCGTCTGATTTCATGGACAAAAGACTTTGTAGATCGTTACATAGTTTAGAAACTTTTCTTAGGTAACTGAAATAATTGTGACTTACGAAGAAATTCTGTTACCTGTGAAAATACTAGTTAACTATAGCAGTGAAATGTAAAAAATAAGCTCGATATGTGCTTAGAGTCAAAACACATTTTTTTACATTTTAGTATATGGAATCAAATCAACACAAGACAGAGTCCATCGCCATATAAAAGTGGGTCTTCTGTCAACTATAAATCTGTATACACGACATGTGTAAACTGGTCAGAACTGCATTGATCCCTTGTAAACGCACATTAATGACGCTATGTAAAAATATTCCTTCAACATTGTATATGTAGGACAGACGTAACTCTGTGCATTTATGTACGAAGGTTAGGTTAGCATTTTAAAAGCACTACAATCACCTTGTGTGGTTAATTGTTCAATAAATCACTGAACTACATGTTTAATAAATAACTAACTCAGTTCATGAATGACAGAAGCAAATGTAAATATGTTGGTTAGCATTGTGAATGTATGGCCACGTCTGTGGTAGAACATAATAAAACAAGTCTATAAATCCAATTCAATTCATTTTAATCCATCTGGAACTGGAGCTATGGAAACGTCCTATGAGGTAGAGAGGGTGGAAAAGAGAGACTTGATGATCCATCATCTCAGTTTGGCTTCCAGGCTCTTTTGGCCAGTGGAACGGAATGGTTCATCTCTCTCATATGCCTTCCCGACTAGTTTGGAGGATGGAAAGGGAACTCTGGATGAGCGTGGTCTCTGGAAAAGAGAGATGTGTCAAGATGGTGAGTGTGACAGACCGTTGCTGTGATGACACAGCAGGTGATGATGAGTGTTGTCAGATGGTGAGTGTGAGAGACCGTTGCTGTGATGACACAGCAGGTGATGATGAGTGTCGTCAGATGGTGAGTGTGACAGACCGTTGCTGTGATGACACAGCAGGTGATGATGAGTGTTGTCAGATGGTGAGTGTGGGAGACCGTTGCTGTGATGACACAGCAGGTGATGATGAGTGTCGTCAGATGGTGAGTGTGGGAGACCGTTGCTGTGATGACACAGCAGGTGATGATGAGTGTTGTCAGGATGGTGAGTGTGGGAGACCGTTGCTGTGGTGACACTAAAGGTGATGATGAGTGTCGTCAGATGGTGAGTGTGACAGACCGTTGCTGTGATAACACAGCAGGTGATGATGAGTGTCGTCAGGATGGTGAGTGTGGGAGACCGTTGCTGTGGTGACACAGCAGGTGATGATGAGTGTCGTCAGATGGTGAGTGTGGGAGACCGTTGCTGTGGTGACACTAAAGGTGATGATGAGTATCAAGTCTATGGAAATTATAATCATGTTTGGCATGTTACTGACATTCCAGATACAAATATTTCGGATAAAATGTTAGGAAACTTTATACCCCCAACTAGCATTGGTATGGCCAGGAAGTCTTGCTAGTGTGTTGGGAGTCTGCTACACAACATAGCCAACACTGAATCAATTTATATTAAATCCAGTATATGAAAAACTTATTAAAACTTCTTAATAATCATAACAGTCTTAGGCTTAAGTAATGAAATACTTATAGAAGACAGGTTTTGCTTTTAGGGGAAACGAGACACAGATAAAGAAGGTGATAAAGTGTTAAAATTATTGGAAACCAAGTCATATAAAATATTGAAGTTAGATACTGTGATGATAATTATATTTATGGAAACAAGCAGAAAAACTTAAGAGAAATACAAATTATTGGTATAGTCATTATTTATATCTCAATTATATGAAAATGTGTATATTATTATTGCTACCTAACTACAATATCGTTAAAAGTTTCGTTGTCAGTTATTACTATATAATAGATAAGAAAATATTATAAATGATTTATATATTTCACGCATTCTATCTATATAAATAAAAATGTAAATGTTCATTTGTTCTAAATCGCTAATCTCCAAAAGTTTTTCACCGATTGCTTTGAAAATTTCACAAAACGTTCCATTCCCATCCGAGCATGTTTTTAAATATACATATGATATAGATATCATGTATGTGACACGAAAAAACATGGTTTTTTTTTTAATGTGTTTTTTCATGTGAGGGAAATCCTCGAAACATGTTTACAGATTGCTTTGAAATTTTGAAACAACGTTGCATTTGAATAAGCACATGTTTTTATATACCTAATATATATACATGTCTCACCTGTGACAGGAAAAAACATGCTTTGTTTTGAAAAACAGAGCCATCTGCTGGACGGAAGAGCAACACGCTGCAATTTCTGAAAGTACTGATTGCTTTCAAATTTTGACACAATGTTCCATTCGAATGTGCACGTGTTTTTATATACATACTATATAGATGCCACATCTGTGACAGATAAAACATGCTTTTTTAAAAAAAAAACAGCAACATCTGTTGTACGTAATTGCAACACACACTGGTTGATACCTGGTTGATGGGGTTCTGGGAGTTCTTCTACTCCCCAAACCCGGCCCGAGGCCAGGCTCGACTTGTGAGAGTTTGGTCCACCAGGCTGTTGCTTGGAGCGGCCCGCAGGCCCACATACCCACCACAGCCCGGTTGGTCCGGCACTCCTTGGAGGAATAAATCTAGTTTCCTCTTGAAAATGTCCACGGTTGTTCCGGCAATATTTCTTATGCTTGCTGGGAGGACGTTGAACAACCACGGACCTCTGATGTTTATAGTGTTCTCTGATTGTGCCTATGGCACCTCTGCTCTTCACTGGTTCTAATCTACATTTTCTTCCATGTCGTTCACTCCAGTACGTTGTTATTTTACTGTGTAGATTTGGTACTTGGCCCTCCAGTATCTTCCAGGTGTATATTATTTGATATCTCTCTCGTCTTCTTTCAAGTTAGTACATTTGGAGGGCTTTGAGACGATCCCAATAATTTAGGTGCTTTATTGCGTCTATGCATGCCGTATATGTTCTCTGTATTCCCTCTATTTCAGCAATCTCTCCTGCTCTGAAGGGGAAAGTGAGTACTGAGCAGTACTCAAGACGGGACAACACAAGTGACTTGAAGAGTAAAACCATTGTGATGGGATCCCTGGATTTGAAAGTTCTTGTAATCCATCCTATCATTTTTCTGTCTGTCGCAATATTTGCTTGGTTATGCTCCTTAAACCTTAGGTCGTCAGACATTATTATTCCCAAATCCTTTACATGCTGTTTTCCTACTATGGGTACATTTGATTGTGTTTTGTACTCTGTATTATGTTTAAGGTCCTCATTTTTACCGTACCTGAGTACCTGGAATTTATCACTGTTAAACATCATGATATTTTCTGATGCCCAGTCGAAAACTTTATTACTATGTTTATTACTTTATTACTTTATTAAAACACTATGCTAAATATGTTATAATTCCATATCAATGTTTCCGATTACATTGCTAAATTGAATTTTCACTAATTTCGATTTATTTTCATTTTGATTTAATTATTTTGTGTGACATTGCATTGGAATTGAGCTGTGTTTACCATACCGTTCATTTTGTGAGTATAAGTATAGATGCCACACCTGTGACAGGTAAAAACATGCTTTTTTGAAAATCAGTGCTGTTGCACGTAAGAGCAACACACACTATCTATATAAATAAAAATGTAAATGTTCATTTGTTCCATTCTCATCCAAGTATTTTTTTAAATCATACTTAATAGATGTCTCGCCTGTGACGGGAATATACGGCTTTTTTGATAAACTGTGTTTTTCATGTGTTTTCATTTGAAGGAAATCTTCGAAACCTCTTTACCGATTGCTTTGAAATTTTAACACAACGTTGCATTCGAAGAGGCACGTGATTTTATACACCTACTATATTCATGCCTCACCTGTGACAGGAAAAACATGTTTTTTTTTTAAACAGCACCATCTGTTGGACATAAGAGCAACACACACACTGTAATCTCAGAAAGTTCTTCACCGATTGCTTTGAAATTTTGATACGATATTCCATTCGAATACACACGTATTTTTATATACCTACTATATAAAACCCACAACTGTGACAGGTAAAAACATTTTTTTTTTTAAAACAGCTCCATCTGTTGAACGTAATAACAACACACACTATACTATATATGTTACGATTTCATTTCAACGTTACGATTGCATTGATAAATTGAATTTTTTATAGATTTCGATTTATTTTCATTTTGATTTAATTATTTTGTGTGACATTGCATTGGAATTGAGCAGTTTCGTTTACCATACCATTTATTTCATGAGTATAGTTTATTTTGGAATTTTTTTACTGTTTTTCATTTCGTTTTTTTAACTGTTCTTCTTATTTTTTAGTGATGGGAACATTAGATCATTTGATGTTCCCATTTTTCTGATAGGAGCATCAGATCATTTGGGAACGCATTTGAAGAGGGAGTGGAGAATGGTGGGGAGGACGAGGGGACCGGGGAGGGGGTAATGGTGTGGAGGACGAGCGGACGATATGGGAACCGACCTGTGAGATTTATATTTATTTAATTTATATGAATTTATATAGAATTTATATTTACGTTAATTTATATACTTCGATAGCAATTTGTATAATGATAAGTGGACTGTATTTCTGCAATAATCTCATAATCTCATAAATCGATCCTCTACACATTAGGGGGGGTTTATATTAATTGTATATATATGCAGCCAATCAAACTACAGTATTAACTACACATTATTAAACATTGAAGAGGTTCCTTATCTTATTTGTACAGCAGGCCTTAGTCCACCAGGTATAACCAGGATGTAGACACCACATTTTCCCTCTTTGAGGTAGCTTCCATCACCCTGGTAACTGATGCACAAAGCATGCTTCCTCGTCTTGACCTGTCAAAAGGGCGCTAGCTGTGAAGCCAGAATCCTAGTATATGACAGGTATATCAGAGAAAACACTGTACAAGGAACAATGAAGACCTGGCTTAATTACCTTTAGTTTGAGGCTATCTCGTGCTCTAACCGGGCAACCCTATATCCACTGACATTAATGGCCATAAATGAAAGATAAATGGGTTTCGGAAGAACACTTAACTTGAATTTGTTGACAGCGTGTTGATGATGGTACACCTTTGGTTTCCATAACACTTCGTCCAAGTAAAATTAACAGGAGCCGTATTTGCTCCCGTGAGCCTCTCTGGTCTAAGTGCAAACAATGGCTAACACTCCATACTACTGACGCTACTGGCCGACATTGTCCAGATATGATAGGAGCCGAATTTGCTCCACGCGTCTCGGAGGTGACAACAACAATCGGCTGACCACTCCCTCACCCTGACGCTACTGGCCGACATTGTCCAGATAACAGAAAGTGATAGAAGGGTCACATTTACTCTACTTTAATATTGATAATTAAGTTAATTTATATGAGATGTTTTTATGATGGTAAAGTCCAAAGACTAATGTATTTAAGAATAATTCCTACCATAATAGGTGGTGAATTTATAATAGTGTGTGGTAATGATATTCCGTTTTCTATAGACGGTAATTCCACTACAAGTTACGTTTTCTATGGGTTAACTTGTTTATACAATACAGCAGCAATTATTATCTGTCTGTATGATATTATTATTAAATGGTGTTGGATTTTCCGACAGACGAGGTAGGGGGTAATTGTGGGAAGGACGAGCGGATGGTGAAGTTGGGGATGGTGGGGATGACGATGGGGACACGGGGAGAGGGGGAATAGTGGGGAGGACAAGGGGGATGAGGGAGTGGGGAATGGTGTTGAGAATGAGGGGACGGGGAAACGGGGAATGGTGGGTAGGGCATTGAAGAGCCACAGCAATGCATGGCCAGGTACAGCTAGTATATTTATAAGTATCTGTAACTCTCCCATAACTAGAGAGAAGAAATATGTCATGACAAGATTGTCACGACTTGTCACGACAAGTTTGTTTCGACTTGTCACAATAACATTGTCATGACGTCACGACAAGGGATATTTACACTGATCGACGTACCTATCGTTTCTAGGTATTTAACCTGAAAACTTAGTTTAGACAATGGTGAAGTACCAAAGTTCATAAGTCTTAAGCTTACCACCAAAATAAAGCAACAGCATGGACAAAATAATGAGAACAGAGGAAGGAGGGCAACAAGGAGGCACCATTGAGATCCAGAAAAGTGTACTCTAGTGTCATAGTGAAGCAGATCAGCATTTAGAGATTGACACATCGGTATAAGCTGTTGTGTCAATCTGTCCTCGCACTTATTGCACCGCAATATTATCCTGATTTCCCACAACCTTGGACATTTAATTCCACATTGATATAATTGAGATCACTGCAACATTAACTTTCTCGTTTGGCTCATGAGAATCGGCCTAGATAGGTTGAGTCACTTTCCTAGAGTTGAAAGCTTATTGTTAGGCAAAACCACTTCATATATTACACTTGTCAAATCGTGGGAGGTGACTGGCTACACAGTTACATAGTCACTTACGGAGAAAAATAATACTATAACTATGTGACTTACGTCAGAGGAGGGAGGCACCCAGCGCACAACACGAGGGTGTGTAGGAAATTTACCACAGGTTCCTGGAGGCTTATAAACGTGGACCAAAAGGTGAGACGGAAAATGGGACACAGCGGAGAGCTAGACGCAACATTGTATAGCTGACAATTACTAAATAGGAACTAAGAAGACCTGTAAAGGAACTTGATGCATCGAGAGCAGATACATAAGACCTGATATATCTATAGCTTTTGAAGGAGGCTCAATGGCTGCTTTATTATCCACTAAACATAATATTTAACAAAATTCTAGACAACGGGATCTCCTGGAATTATTATGCTTTTCTAATGAAGTATAAATGCTGGAGAAAACAATCAGGCAGATAATGGTGGATTTTCTGGAGAGATCAAACTTTGTAACGGGATAGAAACATTTGTTACAGGAACAATTGTTGTGTCTAGAACACTTAATACAGTTCTATGAAAGGAATTTCAATAACATTTTAATTAGTTACAGCTAGTTTGATTACACTTTGCAAGACACTCAAAAACCTGATGTACAAGATGTAGAGGCAACCTAAGGGAATCGGAAAAAGACTGAACAGGAGAATACCTGACAGATAGGTAACAGAGAGTCATCAGCAAAGATGTCAATATGTTGAGATATTAAAGCGGTGTCTCTCAAGGCTCGGTCTCGGACCGTCTGCTCTTTGTAATATATTCGATTTATATGACAGTGTGAGAACATACATTTTATAATTAGCAGACGTCGGAAAGTTAATCATGCGAGTAAAGACTGACAAGGAATATAAAAGACTGCAAGAAAAACGTGATAATCTGTGCGAGTGAATAGACACTAAACTGCTGGAAATAAATTTTAGTATATATAGTAAAATGAAATGTGGAATTGGTACAGATTTAATGTACAGAACTCAATAGAAGGAAGAAAGATAATAGTAGCATAACGAGAGAATATCTTTTTAATAGGCATAATAACACAATCAACAGTATACAATATATAATGATTATATCAAATCTGTACTTGTAAAGCATTACAACGTACAATGTGCATCTCATGAAGAATGAAAAAGAGATTTAAATAGTCCAAATGTTTGTGTGAGGGATGTGAACACCTAGAGGGTTATGAACACTTGTAGGCTTCTGAGCACCTGGAGGGTTATGAGCACTTGTAGGCTTCTGAGCACCTAGAGGGTTCTGAGCACCTGGAGGGTTCTGAGCACCTGGAGGGTTTGAGCACTTGGAGGGTTCAGAGCACCTGGAGTGTTCTGAGGACTTGGATGGATCTGAGCTCCTGGATGGGGTATGTGCATCCCGAGGTTTCTGAACACCCGGAGGGTTCTGAGCACCTGCAGGGTTCTGAGCACCAGGAGGGTTCTGAGCATCTGGACGGTTCTGAGCACCTGGAGGGTTCTGAACATCTGGAGGGTTCTGAGTACAAGGAGAGGTCTGAGCACTTGGAGGGTTCTGAGTACAAGTAGAGGTCTGAGCACCTGGAGGGTTCTGAGTACAAGGAGAGATCTGAGCACCTGAAGTGTTCTGAGCACCTAGCGGGTTCTATCGAGCACCTGGAAGGTTCTGAGCACATGAAGGGCTCTGAACACCTCGAGGATTCTAAGCACCTGGAAGGTTCTGAGCATCTGGAGGGTTCTGAGCACTTGGATTGTTCTGAGCATCTAGAAGGTTCTGAGCATCTGGAGGGTTCTGAGCATCTGGAGGGTTCTGAGCATCTGGAGGGTTCTAAGCACCAGTAGGTTTCTGAGCATCTGGAGGATTCTGAGCATCTGGAGGGTTTTGAGCACCTGGAGGGTTCTGAGCTCCAGGTGGGTTGTGAGCACCTTGAGTATTTTGAGCACCTGGAGGGTTGTGGGCACCTGGAGGGTTAAGAGCATATTTAGGGTTGTGAGAACCTCGAGGGATGTGAGCACATGGAAGGTTGTGAGCACCTGGAGGTTTGTGAGCACCTGACGGGTTCTGAACACCTGGAGGGTTATGAGCACCTGTAAGGTTCTGAGCACCTGAATGGTTCTGATCACCTGGAGGATTGCGAGCACCTGGAGAGTTCTGAGCACCTGGAAGGTTCTGAGCAACTGAAGGGTTCTGAACATTTGGAGAGTTTGAGCACCTGGAGGATTTTGAGCACCTGGAGGGTTGTGAGCACCTGGAGGGTTGTGAGCACCAGAAGGGTTCTGAGCACCTGAAAGATTATGAGCACCTGAAAGATTATGAGCACCTGGATAGTTCTGAGCATCTGGAGGGTTCTGAGCCACAGGAGGGTTGTGAACACCTGGAGGCTTCAGAGCACCTGTAGGGTTCTGAGACTCTGGAGGGTTCTGAGCACCTGGAGAGTTGTGAGGACCTGGATAATTCTGAGCACCTGTCGGATTGTGAGCATCTGGAGAATTCTGAGACTCTGGAGTGTTCTGAGCACCTGGAGAGTTCTGAAAATCTGGAGGGTTCTGAGCTCCTGTCGGATTGTGAGCATCTGGAGGATTGTGAGGATCTGGAGGGTTCTGAGCACCTGTAGGATTGTGAGCAATTGGAAGGTTTTGAGCACCTGGAGGGTTCTGAGCATCTGGAAGGTTCTGAGCACTTGGAGGGTTCTGAGCATCTTGAGGGTTCTGAGCATCTGGACGGTTCTGAGCACCTGGAGGGTTCTGAGCATCTGGGGGGTTCTGAGCACCTGGAGGGTTCTGGGCATCTGGAGGGTAGTAGTAGGGAGTACAGCTCACAGAACATTTTTTTTTTCAGGCGAGAGGACCCCTGTGAGTTGTACAGCTCACAGAACATTTTTTTTTCAGGCCAGAGAACCCCTGTGAGTTGTACAGCTCACAGAACATTTTTTTTTTTCTGGGAAATATCGTGTCTGTAAGCCAGGGTTATCAGGCAAATTTGGGGAGTCACAGATTTGGAAGTAAGGAGTTCTTATGAGGAAAATAATTTCTGAGATTTTAGAAGTTTGTTAAGGTTTCTTATGATGAAGATAAGTAGGAAAATCTTAAAGAAAAAACTTTAGAAAATATCGTGCTTGTGTCACAGCATTTCCAGGTAAACTCTATGGACAACCTTTGCCCGTTTTCAATCACACATTTTCAAAGAGCATTTTCAGAGAATATTGTCTTAGACGTTTTGTTAAGGAAAACAGACAACTTAGCCATAACATTTAGTTTTATATCCATTTACGGCTATTTCACCTGTAAAGACCAAAATTGAACAGAGCCCAGTTATAGACAGAAATTCGTCAGAGACCATTTTATACCTAAAAATGAACGAGTCCACTTTGTGAGCAAAATTAGTCAGAGACAGTTTTAAGCTCAAATTTCATCAGAGACCAATTATCAACAGAAATTCGCCAGAGTCTACTTTGAGAGCAAAATTCGTCAGAGACAGTTTTAAGCTCATATTTCATCAGAGTCCAATTATCAACAGAAATTCGCCAGAGTCTACTTTGAGAGCAAAATTAGTCAGAGACAGTTTTAAGCTCACATTTCATCAGAGTCCAGTTTTCTAGCAAAATTCGTCAGAGTCTACTTTCAGAGCAAAATTAGTCAGAGACAGTTTTAAGCTCAAATTTCATCAGAGTCCAGTTCATGATCGAAATTAATCAGAGTCCAATTAAAGACCCAAATTTGACAGAGACCACATTTTCGCTACTAGCAGTCCAATCCCCCTGAAATTTTAAACAGTCATATTTCAGACGTAGTAAATAAGATCAAGTCAGTTACCGAGCTCCAGCTCTTGTCCCCCTTGTATTTGCATATTTTCTCTATATTCAGCTGTATTCTTCACATTTTTTCCATGTTTTCTGTGTTCATTCCATGTTCTATAAATGTTCACAGCATGCTCAGTTCAAATTTTTTCTGCCGTTTTCCCCGTATGTTCACTATGTTCTTTGTCATATTTTCATGAGCATCACATGTTCTCTCTAAAACTTTTATACTCAATATTCATGTTCTCAATGTTCTTAGCTTGTTCTTCACATGTTCAGTGTTCATTCTTTGTATTCCCTATGTTCCTTATCATGTCTTCATATTCTCTATAAGTTCATATGCCCTGCATGTTCACTCTATTCATCAACTTTTTCTTACATGTTTTCTGTGTTCACCGTATGTTCACTGTGTTCATTCCCCTACTTAACCTCAATTTTTTATGTTCTTTGTTTCTTCCATTCACTAACTAGTTCTTTGTCAAATAATATTATACTGCATTACAGTTCCCTCAACAATTTTAGTCACCAAGTTTTTATTTGCAAAACTATGTCAAAGTAATTCTCGTAGTCAACTTAATAGTTCTACCAACCCTGTTCTTAAACAAATCTACACTTTATTCAGTTCCAAATTTACAAAGACAAACCTTTCTCGTAACTTCTTAACTAAAAATCTTTCGCCAATCAACTAAAACATAGTCACTTTCGTCATTTTTCAACTAAACTTATCCATAGTCAACAGAAAATAACCGTGATCATCATGTTTCATTGTCATTTCTTATCTAAAAATTATCCGCCAATCATCAGAAAAGTCATGTTCATCATGTTTTGTCTTTTGCTCAACTAAAAGTATTCATCGGTCAACTAAAAATAGTTACTTCATCATGTTTCCTTGTCATTTCTTAACTGAAATATCACTTCTCTCATCTGAAAATAGTCAGGATTAATCTCATTCAACACCGTTCTTAACTAAAACAACCTTTCGCTTAGCTAAAAATTGTCAAAGGAATCTTTTCAGCACTGTTCATAACTAACTTTATCCATCGTCAAGTAAGAAAATATAGTCAAAGATATCTATCATCGTCGTTCTTAACTGACATTTATACTTTGTGGAGCACTAAAATAGTCACTGTCGTCATATTTTTTTCTTGTCTTTCCTCAACTAAAAGAGTCAAATGTAAGTTTCTCAGCACTTTCGTAAAAATTATATGTCGTTAAGTAAGAAAAATAGTCAAAGGTGCTCTCCGTAACACCAAAGTTACTCTTCGAGATAACAAAAAGACACTCTTCAATACATCAAGGACTTACTCAAAGACACCAAAGTTACACTCTAAGACATCAAAAAGTTAATCTCAGTCATCAAAATGCTATTCTCTAAGTAGCCTTTCGTTCATCAGAGAAACTTTCTAAGACATCTTCGTTCATTAAAGTTAGTCTCAGAGGCATCAAAGTTATTCCAAGAGCCGTCAAAGTTAATCTAAGACATCATTTTTCATCAAAGATATTCTCTCTAAGCCATCAATGTTCTTCTCTAAGACATAAAAGTTATTCTCAGAGTCACCTTCGTTCTTCAGAGAAACTTTCCAAAACATCTTTGTTCATCAAAGTTATTCTCGGAGTCATCAAAAGGTATTCTCTAACTCACTTTTGGTCATTAAAGTTAATTTCTATGTTATAAAAGTTTGTCTCAGAGACATCTAAAGTTAATCTTAGAGTTATCAAATGTAATCTCTAACTCACTTTTGTTCATCAAAGTTGATGTCAGAGTTAACAAAGGTAATCTCTAACTCACTCTCGTTCATCAAAGTTGTTTCAAAGACATCAAAGTTAATCTCAGAGTTATCCAAAGATATTCTCATGTCCACAAAAGTTATTCCAAGAGACGTCAAAGTTATTCTCTAAGACATCTTCGTTCATAAAAGTTATTCTCAGAGACATCTAAAGTTATTCTCTAAGACATCAAAGTTATTCTAAGAGCTATCAAAAGTTATTCTCAGTCATGATATGTTATTCTCTAAGTAACCTTCCATTCATCAAAGACATTCTCTAAGTCCTCAAAGTTATTCTCTAAGACAGCAAAGGTATTCTCTAAGACAACAAAGTCTTTCTCAGAGCTATCAAACTTGTTCTCAAAGTCATCAAAGTTATTCTGTAACTCACTTTTATTCATTAAAGTTAATTTCTATGTTATAAAAGTTATTCTCAGAGACATCTAAAGTTAATCTTGCTCATCAAAGTTGTTCTCTAAGACATAAAAGTTATTCTCAGAGACATCTAAAGATAATCTTGCTCATCAAAGTTGTTCTCTAAGGCATAAAAGTTATTCTCAAACACATAAAAGTTATTCTCAGAGCTATCAAACTTGTTCTCAAAGTCATCAAAGTTATTCACAGAGTCATCAAAGTTTTTCTGTAACTCATTTTTGTTCATTAAAGTTAATTTCTATGTTATAAAAGTTATTCTCAGAGACATCTAAAGTTAATCTTGCTCATCAAAGTTGTTCTCTAAGGCATAAAAGTTATTCTCAGAGTCATCAAAAGTTGTTCTCTAAATCATAAAAGTTATTCTCAGAGCTATCAAAATTATTCTCGATGCCATCAAAGGATTTTCTCGTTCATCAAAGTTTATCTCAGAGTTAACAAAGGTAATCTCTAACTCACTTTCGTTCAACATATTAATTCTCTAAGTCCTCAAAGTTATTCTCTAAGACAACAAAGGTAATCTCTAAGACAACAAACTTGTTCTCAGAGCTATCAAACTTGTTCTCAAAGTCATCAAAGTTATTCCAAGAGATGTCAAAGTTAATCTAAGACATCATCTTTCATCAAAGATATTCTCTCTAAGCCATCAATGTTCTTCTCTAAGACATAAAAGTTATTCTCTATGTCATCAAAAAGTTATTCTCTGAGCTAGCAAAATACTACTCATGTTCTCAAAGACATTCTCAAAGTCATCAAAGTTTTTCTAAGAGCTATCAAACTTGTTCTCAAAGTCATCAAAGTTATTCACAGAGTCATCAAAGTTATTCTGTAACTCACTTTTGTTCATTAAAGTTAATTTCTATGTTATAAAAGTTATTCTCAGAGACATCTAAAGTTAATCTTGCTCATCAAAGTTGTTCTCTAAGGCATAAAAGTTATTCTCAGAGACATCTAAAGTTAATCTTGCTCATCAAAGTTGTTCTCTAAGACATAAAAGTTATTCTGTAACCTAACCTCTCCACCCAATGTTACTTAGTTAACGTAACGTTCCTAAACCTAACTTTACCTATCCTAACATAACTTACCTTACATTACCTATCTTACCTAACTTTACCTATCTTACCTAACTTAACCTTCATAACCTAACTTTACCTATCCTAACATAACTTACATTACCTTACCTATCTTACCTAACTTTACCTATCTTACCTAACTTAACCTGCATAACCTAACTTTACCTATCCTAACATAACTTTCCTTACCTTACCTATCTTACCTAATTTTACCTATCTTACCTAACTTAACCTGCATAACCTAACTTAACCTGCATAACCTAACTTTACCTATCTTACCTTACCTTACCTATCTTACCTAACCTAACCTAACTTTACCTATCTTACCTTACCTTACCTATCTTACCTAACTTACCTAACATAACCTAACTTATCCTGCTTAACCTAACTTACCTAACTTTACCTATCTTACCTAACTTAACCTGCATAACCTAACTTTACCTATCCTAACATAACTTTCCTTACCTTACCTATCTTACCTAATTTTACCTATCTTACCTAACTTAACCTGCATAACCTAACTTTACCTATCTTACCTTACCTTACCTATCTTACCTAACATAACCTAACTTTACCTATCTTACCTTACCTTACCTAACTTACCTAACTTTACCTATCTTACCTAACTTAACCTGCATAACCTAACTTTACCTATCCTAACATAACTTACCTTACCTTACCTATCTTACCTAACTTTACCTATCTTACCTAACTTACCTAC